AAAAAAGATGTGTGATAAGAATAAATAAAATGATTTATGTGATTTAAAAGAATGAAAGAAATGAGAAGAGATAAAATTTATTTAATAATTATATTTCGGAATGTTTTAATTAATCAGTAAATTGAGTTAAAATTATTTTTTACTTTTATTTAAAACAGAAATTACTCAAAAAAAAAAAAAAAGAGAAGAAAATTTACCTTCAAGTGATGGTATACCTTTATCAATAGCTCGAATTTCAATAACAAATTGTTTTTCGGATGGCAATTCACGATCCATTTTTCGCTAAATTTAAATATTATTCATTCATTTAATCTTTGAAATTATTTAATTATCAAAAAAATAAACAAATTACTCTTTAATATGCATTAGCAAAAGAAATAAATTACCATAGCATAAATTTTTCCGTTACTTGGAACAATCCGGAAAACTGGTTCACCATCAATTTCTTTGTTTATCACAATGCTATACTCAAGTCGAGCATTATCAGTTCGTGGATCATCATAATCTGTTGCTGTAACTGTCATCACAAACACTCCTTCATCTGCAACTCATTTCTTTATTTTATTTTATACAAATTTAATTTTTCAATTTTTTTTTCTTAAAAAAAAAAATTGAAAAATTTAAATACAATATTAAATGAATGAATTGTCAAAATTTCTTAAAGATTTCATTTCTTACATTTAGAATTTACACAATTTACTTTCTTTTTTCTTTTATCTTAAAAGATTAGCCACCATTTTAATCAGAAATTATACGCAAATTTCTAAAAAAAAAAAAAGTTTCCTTTTTTCTTCTTTCTTATTTTCTGCAATTTTAATTACTTTAAAATTTTTTTTTTTTTAGAATACTTTAGAATACTCAAATAACATTAAATACCTCCAGGATCACGATTTTCATCAATTGTTCCAAATAAATTACTAGCAAATATTGGTGCATTATCATTAATGTCGCGTAAATTCACCTAAAAAATTTAAAATTTCTATAAAATCAAAAAAAAAAAAATCGATTTGATAAAGAATTGAATCTTCAATCAAACGTTAAATCTAATATTCTACTTGAAATAATAAATACTTTAAATATTTAAAGTTCAATTCTAACAAATATCAAATTTGCTTTAATTTTATTTCAAAAAAAAAAATAGTTGAAAAAAAAGAAAATAATTTTTTGAATACTATTAACAGAATCAATTCATACCTGTACATCAGCATAACCAATCAATCCATGACCATTATCATCAATTGCTTGTACAATAAACTTCCAAACAGATACACCAGCTGGTGGATCACGATCAAGCGGTCTTATCACTTCAATATCACCACTATATTGATCAACTCGAAAGAATTCGCCAACACCTTGTCCTTCGAGACGATAAATAATTTTTGATGATTCATCTTGCTAAAATTGTAATATTTATTGAAGTGAATTGAGGTTTTCTTGAATTCTATTAATTTATTTTCAATAATAAATATTTACATAAACATTTAGAATTGAAATTTTTCCCAAGTTTTTATCAATAATACCAAAAAATAATGATTCATTTATTATATAACTATATATTAAATTATTAGCTTAGCAGTAATTTAGTATTTTGTGGCAGAAATTTGTTTAGTGTTACTCAAAGATAATTGATTAAAACCTTATCAGTATCAGTAGCTCTAGCAAAGAACAACATAGAAATCTGTTTAGTGTTACTCAAAGATAATTGATTAAAACCTTATCAGTATCAATAGATCTAACAAAAAATAATGTAGAAATTTGTTTAGCTTTTCTCAATGATAATTGATTAAAACCTTATCAGCATCGGTAGCTCTGACAATGAACAATGTCTTCGGTATATCTCGGTCTTCCTCAAATATTGTAATCTCATATAAATCCTTTTCAAATTGAGGTGCATTATCATTTACATCATCAATGTAAACATACAAATCCGTTGTAGCATTATGTTTACCATCTGTTACGAATAGTTTCATGTGATAAACATTTTCCTAAGAAATATAAATTAATTTAATTGAAATTATTAAATGAATAAAAATTATTGTATGCCGGATTGCATACCGGATGATATATACCAGAAAAAAAAGAATACAATTATAAATTAAATTTCTGATAATTTCATTGCAGTTCGTTTAATACTGATTTATAAAATCGTTTATTGTGATATTTATCTTTTTAATTTCACTAAAATTTCAAACCTTTTCATAATCAAGTGGTTCTTTAATAAAAAGTGCACCGGAATCGGTTCGAACACCGAATGGTATTCGTCCACCATATACACCATATAAATCATATTTAAGATTTGGCACTGTAATTTTAATTAATTTTTACAATTTAGGATAGAATTTTGGACTTATCTATTAATGATCAATTGTTTACTGCTTATCATAATACATTTCAAAAGTTAAATTTGATATGATAATTTCAAAAAAAAAAAAAAAAAAAGAAAAACTAACATCGATCTAAGTCATATGCTTTCACCGTAATTACATCTTCATTAATTTCCTCATTTTCAGCAACTCGAGCCTCATAACGAGTTTGCTCAAAATATGGTGGATTATCATTGATATCAATCACAAAAATTTGTACTTTAACAATATCTGAAATAAATAGCAAATAGAAAAATTAAAATTCAATTTTTAGGTGAATTTTCCAAAAAAAAAAAAAAAAGTTAGTTTATTTTTTATAAAATTTTTAAAGTTAAAATAAGCGAAGAAAAAAGAAAAAAAAAACATATATGCTTTTATTAAAAATATGTCAAATTTTTTTAGAGTTAGCAAATCTTAAAGGTAATTATTTGATCTGAAAAATGATCATCGTTCATCATTTGAACAATATCAAATTGAACACTTTATCAAATTTTGAAATTTTGACTAAAAATAATCGATGAACTGTTCTGATCTATAAATTCATCTATTTTATATGATCTATTTTACAAATTTCAATGAACTAAATAGCTCTGATCTATCTATTAGTTCAATTTTACAGATCAAAATTAATATAGTAGTAACCTTTATTCGGTCCTGAAGCACCAGGTAAACTTGATGGAACATTATCACGTGCTTCAACATCAAATATAAATGAATCATTTTTTTCTCGATCAAAAATCTCAAGTGGAAATATTCCACCAGTTAACTCATCAATCCGGAATAATCGTGCCGCACCGCTATCACCATCACTAATAATCCGGTAACGTACTTCTGATTGTGGTCCCGGAGAATCTGCATCCTCTGCTTTAACTACCGCTATAGGATTACCATTGTACCTGGAATATTTTTAAACTTCTAATAACTATCAGTTCAGTTTTATAAATTAAAATTAAAATAGCAATCTTAAAAAAAATAAATAAAAAATGAATAAAATGGTGAAATGAAAAGATAGATAAAATTAAAGTTAAAAAATAAAATTTTAATAAAATCAGTTAATTACTTAGTAAGAAATTCCGTTGGTGTTTGTTCTTCTTCAATGGTACCCGTGAAAAGATCAACCGTAAATCGTGGAACTACATCATTCTTATCACGTACTATAACATGAAGTTGCTTATCAGATGTTATCAAACTACGCATATCCTGCAAATTGAAATCATTTTAATTTCTTAACAAATAACTATTATTAAATTAATGTAAATTTTTCAATAATAAAATTTGTAAATGATCAAATTTGAATTTATCAAATAAAAATTTTAAAGTTAATATTATTTGTTGAAGAAAATAAATGTAATTAAATATTAAATTTCAAAACAAATGAAATTTTCCATTCATTTTTATATTTCATTTGAAAATTAAAATTTTTAAATTAAAATTTAAACCATAGCAGTTATTGTTAAAGTATAATTCTGTTGTTGCTCATAATCTAATCCAATCATATTTCTAACAACAACCCAATCTCGCCCATTTGTTTTCTCCAGGAATTCACGAAAATGCATTTCATGATTGGTACCACGACTGGCACCATTTGCCATCCTAAATGAAATTTAAATTGAAATTGATTTTTTAACAGATGAAAAATTTGAAATGAATAATTTATAAAATTATCAGATTTGCAAATGTTTTTTCTTTTTTTTTTTAAATAAATTAAATCATTTTTTATAGTATCTTCTTTTTATAGCTAAATTTAGCTTAGATTAAATTAATTCTATTAGTTTAATTAAAAAGATTCAAATGCAATTATGCATATCAAAATGAATGATAAATAAATTTCTATACTATAATATCAGCTAGAAATTCATTAAAATCAATGAACGATGATTTGATTATAAATTTATTAAACAAATAAATTAATCATTTATTTAAATCCTATAAATAATCTCAAAACAATGCAAAATTTTGTATTATTAAAATAATTTAATTAAAATGCACTAACTTATATGAAATTGGACTCTTTGGACCATCACCTGGAATTGCTAAGCAACGAAAAAGCACCGAATTAATCTGAAAATTATAAAATTAAACTAATAAAAAAATGATATACTATAAATTAAAAAAAATAAATATGCATGAAGGAAATGAAATAGTTGGAAATAAAGAATAAATAATTCAAACAAATTTTTTCTTTTCCATTTCCTTACTTTTTATTCCATTGTATTAGATCAATTCATTGAAAAATCTCGAAAAAAAAAATTGAAAATTCTCGAAGTTTCTCAAGAAATTTCACTTACAGGAATATCCTCGTCCACTACAACTGTCGTCTTACATTCATCAGTTGTTTGCCATTGTGGCGCACTTTGTTGCTTTTCATGAACATTCACAACAACTTGCACTTCACTTCGTTGCGCAAATGGTACTCCATGATCATTTGCTATAACGTTAAAAACAAAACGATCTTTCTGAAAAAAAAAAAAAAAAAAACTGAAAATTTCCAATTAAAATTTATAAATCAAAGGAAAAAAAAAAAAAAAAACCGCAAGAAAATTTTTTTATTTTTATTTAAATTACAAAAATATTAAATTAACTTTTGCCTTTATATTTTCAAAAATTTTTTTTTTTCAAAACAAAAAAAAATTAACTTTAAAAAAATTTGATAAAACTAACATATGATGGAATTTGATTAGCTAACGAGATTTCACCACTATTTTCATTAATTATTTGAAAAAATTCAAAATCTTTATGATGTTCCTTTTCAGCTAATGTATCTTCAGCTAATGAGTAAGTAATTCGAGCATTCTGTGGCGCATCCGCATCATCCGCAAAAACTGTTATCACCGAATACCTGAATTATTTACCTGAATTATTTACCTGAACTATTGAAGAATGTTTTTCGAAATAACATTTTACCAATGTCACATTTCATTTCAAACTGCTCATAACCTATTATAATACTTAAATTATATTCAATAATGTTATAAGAAAAAAATTCAAAATTTTTAAAATTTTCCTAATTAATTACTAAAATTTAAAATTTAATGATAAAGCATCTAAAATTTTTCTGAATTTTCGAATTTTAGAATGAGAATAAATTAAAATGTTAAAGTATTGCTTATTATTTGCTAGAAATTTGATAGCAGTTTTTAGAAACGAATTGTAAATTTTTACATTTAGAAAAACTAAAAACATTCAAAGAATCAATCAATAAATTTATTTTTATTTATGATAACATTTTCAACGATACATAAACAATTGATCGCTTAAATGTTGCTCTGATCAATTTAATATTTCACAAATTTAAATGAATCATATTTGAAAAAAAAAGCAGTTTTACAGTTAACTAAAGCAATTTGTCGTATCAAAATTTTTAAATAAAAAAAAAAAAGGAAGGAAAAGATGATTTACCCGATGTCAACATTTCTCGAGATTGAAGTTTCATAAAATGATCGATCAAATTGTGGCGCATTATCATTTATATCAAGAACTTGTACAGTAAATTGACAAAAGCCTATCAATGGTCTTTCACCTTTATCTGTTGCCTAAAAATTAAACTACCTTAACTATCTTCTATATCATTTTAATTTCTCATTTAAATTTAAATTAAATTTTAAAAATGTTCAATTTAGAAATAACTAACTTTTACTGTAACTTCTTCTTGCGCTCTTTGTTCACGATCAAAGCGCACAAATGGTGATGGTCTCAGTTCACCTGTTTCAGGATTTATGACAAACGGTTTACGAGATTCAGACTGTGAATAATATAACGAATATACAATTTCTCCGTTTGGTGGTGAATCTTCATCGGTTGCAACTACCTAAAATGTATTTCATACAAAACAAATTTAAAAAATTTTTTTAATTTATGTTTATTTAAACTGTTGAAATTTAATCCTTAAAAATTAACAATTTAATAAATTAATACCAATCAAAAAATTTAGAAATAAATGGATTAAAAAGAAAAAAAAAAAGACGAATTAACAGTAAGAAATATTATCATAATTTCTTCATCTGAAATTTAAATTACTAAAATTAAAAATAACCTTTAAAATAACTGGTGCATTAGTTTTATAATCACCTTCCTCAATTTTTGCTATACTACTATAAGTGTCACAACTACGAAATTCAGGTTTGTTGTTGTTTACATCTGCGATATCTGTAAATTTAAAATTTCATTTTTTTTTTAAAGAGTTTTTTTTTCCTTCTTTTTTTCTTGCATATATTTCCAGAAATGAAATTATCAGTAAATCAGTTAGCTATTATAGAATCTAAAAAATGATAAAGTTAAATTACCAATAGTAACCGTAGCAGTTTGCATATGAAGTTCACTTGCGTCATCTCCGCAGCATGATCCGTCATCTCGTGCCACTATTGTCAGGTTGTACGGTGATTCTTCATGTAAAAGATCTTCCGGTTTTACGTTTAGTCCAAGTCTAATCAATCCTATAATTTTCTATTTTTAGATAATAAAATTTAATAAAGCAAAAAAAAAACTTTACAACCGATTAATGAAAAATTCTCATATAACTTACCTGTATCTTTATCAATTTCAAATAATTCAGTTGCTGATGTTTCTTCACCATTTGATAATAGAAATGCATAGAAAACCTTAAAAATTTATATATGATATATTTTTTTTTTAAAAAAAAAAAATAAAACTTAGTTTACTTTTTTTTTTTGATGATTTAAATTAAACTAAACATCGAAATATTTAAGTTAAATTTTTCAATTTTAAATTTACCTGATCTCGATCTGGATCAATTGCTTGAATTTGTACTATTGGTGTACCACTTTGAGCATCTTCAGCAACAAATGCATGATAAGTTGCATTAGGAATGAAAATTGGTGCTTCATCATTTGAATTTTCTGTACGAATATGTACCTAAAATTAAAATTCATTTAAAATATTTCATAAAATAAAATTTTATAATGTAATAATAAGAAAAAATTTAAAAAATTAAAAATTAATTAAACTAATTTAATTTTAATTTAATGAACATCAAATTAACTAAGCTAATGGTTTTATTTAATGAACATCAAATTAATTAAACTAATAATTTTAATTCAAAGATCATCAAATTAACTAAATTAATGAATTTTAATTTAAATAAATTGACAAACATTAAAATTTTATACATAAAATAATAAATCATATATATTTACCATAGCACTACTACTTAATGATGGTTCACCGTAATCAGTTGCGGTAACATTAAAACGATAAATGAAGAAGCGTTCTCGATTTTGATCAGCGTCAAGACGTCTACCAGCTGATATCTCACCTTGATCATTGATTATAAAGTTATCATCATCTAAGGTATATCTAATTCGAGCATTTTCACCATTATCTTTATCATCTGCTTCCACTAAAATAAATTTTTTTATTTTATATAAAACATATTAATAACATTCTATAAAAAAAAAAAAAAATTGATTAAATACTATTGATCTGTTATTTCAAAAATAAATTTCATTTTATTAATTAAATTTACCTGTAAGAATTTTATTAATTAAATTTACCTGTATGAATTTTATTAATTAAATTTACCTGTAAGAATTTTATTAATTAAATTTACCTGTAAGAATTTTATTAATTAAATTTACCTGTAAGAATTTTATTAATTAAATTTACCTGTAAGAATTTTATTAATTAAATTTACCTGTAAGAATTTTATCAATTAAATTTACCTGTAAGAATTTTATTAATTAAATTTACCTGTAAGAATTTTATTAATTAAATTTACCTGTAAGAATTTTATTAATTAAATTTACCTGTAAGAATTTTATTAATTAAATTTACCTGTAAGAATCGTATAACCAGTTGGTATATCTTCTTTAATTGTAGCACTATAGATAGGTTGTGTAAAGATAGGAATATTATCATTGGTATCTTTTATATAAATATCTAATGGTACTTCACTTTCTCGACCATCTTCTTGTGCAATAACTGAAATTTTGAAAATTTTCGTTTTTAAAAATTTTTAGAATTTCAACTCATTTTATTTCTTAGTGATAAATCCTTTATTTTTATTTTAATCATCCTAAAATTCTAACTTTTCATTTTAAAATTACTGATTTTTTTTTTTTTTGGAAAAAAGAACTAAAACTCGTTTTTTATCTTATAAAAGTTAATTAATCATATATCTTAAATAAAAAATTAATTAATTAAATAAAAATTAATCTTAATTTAATATAAAAGCTTATTATAGAAAAAAGAATTAAGCAAATTTTTATTCCATTACGAATTAATTGGAATTATTTCAGAAATTTAAACTTTGATAGTTAAAAGATCATTATGGATTTATGGCATTAATTATGCATATATAAGCTTCAGCAATTGTCGATTAAAATTTTTTAATTAAAAAAATAAAAAGTCCTATTAGTTTACTATTATAATGCATACTTTCAAATTTGTTTTATGCATTTTTTTTTTTTTTTTGCAAAAATTTTTCATTTTCTTTAAAATATGCAAATTATTTTATGATTTTAAATATTTTAGCTTATATTTAGCAATTCAGATCTATTCTATTTCTCGAATACTCTTCTAGAGATTTAGAATTTATTAATTTCATAAAGAAATTATAATTATTTATAAATTAACTATAATTTTAAAAAAAAAATTATAACTTATAAATTATAATTTAAAAAAGAAATTATAAGTTAGATGGCATTAAAGAGAATAGATAACAGCATTACTAAACTTTTTTTTCATAAAAATCTTTGATTTATTTCACTCATTCAATTTAACTATTTTTCTTGTCTTATAATTATGATTTACTCAGTCTAATTTAAATTATTAGTTTGGTTTAAAATAGAGCAAAAAAATAAATAAATAAATAAAATTTACAAATCAAAAATTTATAAAAAGCTTTTTTTATCATTTGAAGATTTTTTTAAATTTGAAAAACAAAAGGTAGGAATGATTATTTCAGCTTGAACGAACAAAAGACTATGACAAAAACTTGCATATTTTATTTAAATTATTTAAATTTTTTTAAGCATAACTTACCAGACTTAAAATAATTTTAAAATTTAACTTAAAATAATTTTTTTTTTTTTAACATAAAAATAATTTTAATTTGCATTTGTATTTTCTATCTTTTCTTAAACAAACATACATGCTATGATACTAACATGTTAAAAGCTACAAATTTAACTTTTTTATTTATTTATATTCTAAAATTAAAAAAAAAAAAAAAAAAAAAAAAGAAAAAGCTAATTTATGCTAAATAAGTTCAATTCAGTTAGCAAACTATTCATTATCACATATATATATATTTAGCTAAAATTTCTTAAAATCAAATGAAGCATATAATAGAAATAAAATTGGATTTTAAATGTAAGCTAGACTTTTCCATGAAAATTAAGACAGCCTAAGCCTATTATAAAACTGAATTAGAAATTTCATGAAAGAACGGATAAGTGAAGCGGAAAAATTCATATCTAACTTAAATACCAGCTATAAACAATATAATCAATAAATTATACACTTAATTATTTTATTAATTATTATTCGCTAATAAAACATTTTTCTAGCTATTATAATAATTTGATATAAATTTGATAAAATTCAACTTTAATACAACTCATTGTTAAATTTAGGAAAAGGTTGTAAAAATTTAAACAAACCTTTTAATTGATGATGCTTTGGTAGTGTATCATCATCATAATCAAGCGCTTTTATCAATTGAACTAAGCCACTTTCAGCATCAATTGTAAAGTATGATGATAATTCACGTTCAATTAAACTTGTATCCAAATATAATTGATATGATAATTTACCTTTGCTACGTCGCTTATCAATTGGTTTAAAACATTCTGCTCTGATAGCTATTATGCTAAATTTTAATAATATTTGATAATTTTTCTTTTAATTCTTTTATTTTTCATTAATTAAAGAAGCAATTTCATTTAAAAATTTGCATATTTTAAGTTCAAATTCATTTATTTTAAGAATGAATGAATTGAAATGGTATTTTTATTAATTTTAAAACTCCTTTTTAATCTTAGCCATAAAAAAAAAAATGGGTAATAGCTAATACCTGGAGCCAATTTCAGTATTTTCCGGAACAAGAACTGTATATTGTTGCTCAACAAATTGCGGTGCACGATCACCAGCAAATACTTCCAGTACTGCAACTTCACTATCCTAAAATTCAAAATCTAATTTTCATTAAATAGAATTTCACTCAAAAATTATGGATAAAAGAAATTAAGCAAAATTTCAATTGCTAATCAAACATAATAAAATAAAATAGCAAAAGAATAATTAATTAATTAGTTTGTTAATTACTAAAATATAATTACAAAAATTCAAAGAAAATTCAACAAAGTTTCTATTCACTGCTAAAATCATTAAACTTTTATAAATAAGAATGAATTTAATTTTAGCCACAAAAGTATAATTTTAAATTTGCACCTGCGAAATTTCAGGATCTGTTGGTGTTCGATCTCGTGCCTGAACAAAAATACGGTAGGTTTCACCTGGTTTATAATGTTTCAATGCTGTTTGCACCACACCACTTACTGGATCAACCGTAAATGCACCTCGAGCTGCAAAATAATAATTTATAATATTTGGATATTTTATAAAATAAAGAAAAAAATTTTTTAATCCAAATAAAATTTCACCTCCTAAACTTTCCAAATAACAAATCAAAATTTGTTTTATTTATTTTTTTCATTTGAAAAATGGTAGCATATTAAAATTTACTATAAATAATATCTTTTAAAATATTTCCAATTTTATAGTTATTAAAATTTTATTTACAAAATATAGAAATGAGTAAAATATTATTGCATATGTTACTATTTTTATTTTCAAATGAAGGAAATTCATTATTTAATTAGCATAATCAAACTAAAAATACAAACAAATATCATAAATGTTATCAAAAATCTAAAAATTAATTGAACCATTTTTTATTTTATTATTAATTACAACAAAGTCTGTCAAACATTTAAATTAATTCTTATCAATTTTTTATCACTGATATAACCAATTAAATTAAATTGAAAAAAAAAAAGGGTAATGATACTAACGTTCAGTATTGATAAGCCGATATTCAACATTATCATCACCATCACCTGCTTCATCACGAGCAACAAACTGTAATTTAAAATTTGTCAAATTTTCATTTTAAAATTATTAAATCAATTTGTCAAATTTGAAATTTTTTTGAAATTATTAAATCTTTCTTTTTTCTTTTATAACTTTATCACCAAAAAATTTTACTGTTAAACTTTCCATTTTCAATTACTAAAGTAATATCACTTTTTCATAATTTAACAATGAAATGTTTTTTTTTTTTTTTTTCTCCAACAATTATTCATTGAGTTGTTTACTACATAATGTATCATTTATTTGGGTTTTATTTTTAAACCATTTTAATACCTCAACCAATCTAATATCTCATTTAAATTTGTTCATTTCTCTTTTTCCTAAATCCTTCCCTTCTTTAGAATAACATTTTACATTCCGGTCCCTATGGTTTTCATCTTTCGGATCGGAAAATTAATGACTTCTTTATTTGTAAGTGAAATAATCCAAAAAAGAAAAAAAAAAAAAAAACGATGAGCCAAAAAATTGATCCAATTTTATGCTTTTTAGAAAAAAAAAAAAAACGGAAGACTGAACAGAATAAAATAAAATACATTAATTAATCTTATTTCCATGTCATTTTGATGATATCTTTTGATAGAAAAAATTTTCTTCTCAATGTTATTAAACCAATTTTAACATAAATTTTTATAAAAAAAAAACATATCACATAAAATTTAATTTGTTTTTTATAAAAGAAATAAAATTTATCATTTAAATTTAAATAAATCCTTTTGTAATAGTTTACTTCAATTTCTCTCTCTCTCTCTCACACATATCAACAACAAATATTCCAATGGAATGCTTGAATTAGCATTTTTAAAAATTTAAGAAAAATATTTAATATTGTAATTAAACTTTAAATTAATACAATTTAAATATTCCGTTTATAAAAAGGAGAAAAAAAAATTTAAAATGCTGATTTTTTTTTTAAAAAAAATTTACACAACTTTAAACATTTAACTTTTATCAAATAAATGTTAATTTTAAAAATTTACTTTATAAATATGCATTCCAATTGGTTGATCATATGCTACCACAGCTTGATATGGCTTTGGTCCATTTAGAAATGTTGGCGGTTCATCTACATCTAATACTTCCATTCTTATCATTTGTACACGAACTAAAAATTAGCTTATCATATTGCTTTTTACAATTTTTAAAAATTAAAATATTTAATTAATTGAAATTATTTTTAAAAATTAAAATATTCCATTAATTCAAATTATTTTTAAAAATTAAAATATTCCATTAATTCAAATTATTGTTAAAAATTAGAATGTTTGATTAATTCGAATTATTTTTAAAAATTAAAATATTTAATTAATTGAAATTATCCTTAAAAATTGAAATATTCCATTAATTCAAATTATTGTTAAAAATTAGAATATTTGATTAATTGAAATTATTTTTAAAAATTAAAATTTTCCATTAATTCAAATTATTGCTAAAAATTAAAATATTTGATTAATTCAAGTTATCTTATCAATGCATTCATTACAGAATGATAAGAAATGATTGCATTAACTTTGTATAATTTAACTGATAAAAGTTATATATGTATTAAGTAAGAAATGTAAATGGATTGTGTTGTTTATTTCTGTCTATGAACCCTTGCAATCAGCAAATAATTGTATAATTACAAAATGTATAATTAAATTTGAATATTTGTTATCAAGCCTAATCAGATTTCAAATTCATTTCTATTATTCCATTTAGTTTGATGAATAATTAGCACAGCAATTTGATTGATTAATGGAAAAAATTTTTTCAATGATTATTTCATTAAATTGAAATCTATGAAATGATATTCTGCTATTTAAATTTAAAATGATTGAATGCGAGGAAAAAGTATACTTTATCATATTCTAACTTATTAGTGCTGATTGGAAGATTTATTTTGTTTTAATTTCTATGAAATAAAAACATTTGCTATTTATTAAAATTTAAATTTATTCAGCCAAGAAATATTATTTGTTAAAGAATTTTTTATATTTTTATTCAGCCAAGAAATGTTATTTATTAAAAATTTTGTTTGATTAGCTAAAAATTAGTTAATTAATAAAAAATTTCGATTAACATTTTACTCGTTTTTTATTGTTTCATAAAATTTTTTCACTAATTTAAAAATTATCAAAATATGCTAATTATCTATATTTGTCTGTTTTTTTTTTTTTTTTTCATTTTTAGTATAAGCAATGAATTAGAATTCTATTACTTCATCATTTATCTTTTACCAATTTGCATTGTACCTTTCATTCCCCAAAGCTTAGCCTACAAGAAAGCTAAGCCAAGCGGCCAAGACTCATCTAATGAATTCGATTATTTCAAAGGCCATATTGGCCTACAAAGCATGCATAAAATAGCAAACACAAATGCAAGTGTCGAAGTCTTACAAATAGCATTTGCCAATTAATTAGCATATTTCTACGACGATTTGTTTGCTTTTGCATGCATTCATTACAAATAAGTAAAATTCTTGAAATTTGAGTAAAAATTAGAATAAAAATTCATCTCATTACTGCTTACTTTAATTAGCTAAACTTCAAATTTCCACAAATTTATCACAAAATACTATGGAAAATATTTTGTTAAGAAATGAAAAAAAAAAATGAAATGAAATGAAATGAAATAAAACATTTCATTTTATCATAATCTAACCCAATCAAATCAATCAATTAAATAAAAAAATATCAATGAGATCAAAATTTTCTTCAAATATTTTGATATCTAAAAAAAATATTATGTTAATTTAATAAAAAAAAAATTTTTATCTTTGATCTTTTAAAAAATGCGACATTTCTGCAGGTAATTATCATATACTTTTATCAATCACATAGTATTTGCTTTAATTTTAATCTTAATTTATGCATTAATTTTCAAATTAACCACTGCCATTACCCATCCAACACTTTTCATTTCACCAAAATAATAACTTAATGCGCTATTGTCTCTTATTTTGCCATAAAAAGCGCTAATTGTCAACGATCATACAAATGTAAATGTATCAGTAAATCGATATATAACTTTTATCGATGCATAACTTAAAGGATAAATGAATAAATGCTCTTCGCTCATCAATGCTTCCTTTATAATGGGTGATAATGACCCTGAACCATTAATATTCAGGTTGATTAGTGTGATTGATTTATGCAAGGCCATTTCGAGAATAAAGTTGAACATTTAATGGAAAAGATTGAATTAGATGAATTGATCAAATAGGAATAGTGGATAAAAAAGAAATTTCATTTCAAAATTTATTAGCAATTTCTTGCTACATTACTTATCATATCATTCTTAATTTTACTAATACAATAATAAATTATGATCTATAACCTATCATATTCTTTAGTTATTTCTATTAACATATTATTTATAAAAATAATAGAATAAAACAGTAATTGTATTAGTAAAATTTAGGATATAAAATTATAGAACGAAAAAAAAAACAATTAGAATAAGATGATTACTGAAATAAGCTATTTGAAGGCTTTTTTCTTCTATTTCTTCCACTTAACAATAAAATTAAAATAATTTAATTCATATAAGAAATATATAATTAACTATTAAAATAGCTTAATTGTAGTTAAATATATTTTTAAGTTCAAATATTAGTTAATAAACTCTTATTTCTCTTAAGCTTTCTTTTCCATCTTTAAATTTCTTATTTCATTTTCAAATAAGCATTTCACAAAGAGTGCCAAAATTACTTCAAAGCAATGAGTAATTAATCAATTGGCAACAACAGCCCTGATGAAATTAACAAATTTATATAATACATTTTCTTATTCCCATTGAAAACTAAAGAAAGTGTCTTAATTTATTCTATCTAATTATTATTATTATCATTATTATTATTATTTATATTATTATTATTACAATTATATTAACTGAGAGAAAAGCTTTTACAAATTATCTCTTTAAAATTAGCTAAATTTTCGAGAGATTATTTTTGAAATTAGAAAAAAAATTTAAATATGAATAAAACTTTAAAAAATTTTTCTTTCATTTCTAATTTACAATTCAAATGAAATTTCAAATATTTCCTATATTATCATTAAAAAAAAAAGATATCAAATAATTACAAATCTTTCATAATATTCCTATCTAATTCATTTCTCATAAATGCACAGGTATTAATTAACCTGTCCCTTAATATTACACTTCTTTTTTCCCTTCTTTTCTAACTGCATCAGCACTCATTATCATTGTCATCCTTATGTCAGAATGAAACGGATGCAATGTGTCCTTTGACCTTGAAGTGAGAGTTATAATCCAATAAATGTTCCCCTGCAAATCTCTTTCTTGTCTTCCCGAACTATACGCAAGGGTGTGAAAGTGTTACTTACTTGGGATGGATTGACGGGTGGATGGATGGGTGGATGGATGGAAGGGAAAGAAAAGATTACCTACCCATCAATTGTCATCGAACACCAAACTATCATATCATTATCACTGCTAGAAACTCATTTAAAGCTTTTACTCACTCATTGAGAAGAGGAAAAGCGATAAGAACTAAATTCATTCTATCAAATATTTTTAAATTAAAACAACAAATCTGTATTTTTTATAAAAAAAAAATTTTTTTATCATTAAAATATTTCAATTACATATGTTATTATTACTATTATTATATCTCAGCTAATATTAATAGCAGAATTAGTAGAATTATTCGGATATAAATTTAAAATAATTTAATGTTACTAAAATTTAATTCATTTGGTTTCAGATTGCTTTCTTTTTTTCTCTTTTTTTTTTTTGAAAATTTATGAATATTTCAATGAATGAATGAATGAATGATTTAAAAGAAGTTGAAATAAATGTTATGTAATAAGAAATATTTTGTAAACGAATGCTAAAATAAAATTTGAATCTAAATTTTTTAATTTTTTTTTTTTTTGAAAATTTGTAATTTACTTATTTGAATTCTTGCTAAAAAAAAAAAAAGGAAAAAATGCTCAATAATGTTAGAGAAAGAAGCAAAAGGGAAAATTTTATATAATCAAATTACATTTCATTATTAAAATTTGAATTAATAAACAAAATATGAAAATGATGATAATGATAGCAATTATAGTGATCATTTCAATTGTAATAAAGATTTTTTTGATGATGACATGATGTAATTAATGTATGATGCAATGATAATAATAGCGTTAATCTTAGCGATAATCAATTCTGATTAAAATTAGAAATCAAAGATTGTGTGCTATTGTCCATTTGATATGATTCATTCATTTATTTTTATTACCTACAACTTTACCACTTTATGATCTTATCTTTCCTACTTTTTGTCACATCTGGTTTGAAGTTGTTGAGACATACATTGGATTAACACATTTGAGCAGATGGAAGCAGATAAATATGCTAAAGAGATTGAATATATTTTATGCTTTTTAAAAAGCATAAAATGCTAACTTATCAGGTCATTATGGGTCATTTGTTTTCCTTTTCTCTTTTCTTCTACTAAAGCATTTAATTTAATTATAACAGATAAGAATGGTTGTTATTTCTAACCAATAATTAAGCATAAATAATACTCAAAAAGAAAGGAACAAACAAACAAACAAAACAAAACAAATAGATAAAATTTGTTAGTAAAATAACAATTAGACTTAATTTACATTAAGTTCAAAGAAAAATGCAAAATTTGTATGTATTCGTAAATTTTCATTGTCTTTGAAGTGTATCCTAAATTTTCATTCTTCTTTCTCTTCTGAATAGTACAATTAGTAAAATGGGAATAATTAAGCTTAAGCTTAATTATAGCTTGCATTTAATAGTTTGCAAAATTTATCGGATGATAAGAAGTAAGTAAATGGATAAACGAAATGTTAAATTTAAAGAAAAGAAATGCTTGCGTCAGCTTTTTTTTTTTTGCAGATTATTATTTCATTTAGTCATTAATTAATTCCTTTCTCAATTATTCATCTATTATCTCAATTCATCATCTATTCAAATTTATTTACTTTATTTATCAATCCTCTTCAATAAAATCTGATCTTCATTGACACATTTCCCTCATATTTCAATGGTTAAATATCTTTTTATAGACGAGAAATTATGGGACAATTTGACATCTCCATCTGCATATGTGTAATATTTGCTACCTTTTACACGCAATATTCATTGAATTATGATTAGGTATCGCTTTCAAATGGTTAGCGACACCTGTCCATCAATCATTTCCGGTCATCCAGGTATTGCCAAAATTGATTAACCAGTAATCAAAAATTAAAACTCCGGTAAAATCTTATTGAATCAATTCAATTTTAGTCAATGAAGTTTAGATAATATCTAAACTTTGATCTTCTCATCTCATGAAAACTAGAATTGCAGTCTAAATCCATTTATAGAATAAAAATGATCGATCCTCCATTAAGGTCATAAATTACACTATTAAAGCACTTTTGGTCACACACATATCTAAAATGCTACAACAATTAAAGATTGTTTACTGCTTCCATTATTAGTGACCTCAGAAGCGGTCACTAACTTATAATAATTAAATTAAAATCAGTCAATTTTTCTCTTTTTTTTTTTTTAATGTATTGTTTAAAAATCTAATTCATTTGTTAAACTATAATTTACACTCTTCTTTCTTATTCTTGACATTTCATTTTTTTTTCTTTACAAATTATCATATTTCAAATTTTATCAAACATTAACATTCAGTTTACATGTTGCAAAATGAACATTACATACTCTAAATTTATGCTTTCCTCAAAAAAAAAAAAAAAAAAAAAAACTTTAACTTTTAGCTAATAGCAAAAACTTACAAAGCAAATGTTTTAATTTAATTTGAAATTAAAAAAAAAATCAATTGTCTATCAAAAAAAAAAAAAAATTAATTAATTTTTATGCTAACAAAAGTAATATATTTGAATGCATTTATATATATATAAGCTTCCCTTCTAGCATTATAAAATTTAATTCTTGGCTTACTTTTCTACTACCTCTTTTCGATTCTCAGGAGGGAATTCCATTAAGTACTTTTGGGTATACATTTGCATTTAAGCGGGAATGATTTTATTGTTCAAGCAATAGTTTCTGTAGAAGCACTTAGTTAAGTGCTACTACTAGTTAAATGTGCTGTAATGACATAGTTAGTTAGAAATGCATGCATGCATAATGCATGCATGCATTATGCATGCATAAACTTTTTTTTTTTTTTTATTAGCAAATTTAAATTAAATTCAAATTAAATTATTTCTAAATAAAGACAAATTATATCAAAGAGTGTTCAAATTTATTTTAACTTGCAATGTCATATTTCAATGTTTTGCAAATATCCCATGAGATTTGATCAAAATTTATTAAGTCTTTCATGCTAAACTAAAAAAGAAGAAGCATTTCAGATCTTTTTTTTTTTTTTTAATTAATAAATTCACATTGCTTTACTATTCTCTCTTCTCTTTCCTTTTTCTTCCCAATTTAAAAGCTTTATTTAGCTACAACTATGCATCAATCAATCTTTTGGTCAACAATACATTTTAGCATTGCAAAATTATTCAACAATTAAATGAAAATTAAATTTAATAATAATTTATTATATTAGAAATTTGACATAATTCAATCTATATATGCAAATATTTTAGAGAAAATAAATTTTTTTTTTTTTTATTTATGACAATTTTAATTCAATTCAAAAAAAAAAAAATTACTAATTTTCTATGATATTTTAAATGAAACGAACAATTTCTGTTTTTTTTTTTCTACTTATTTTTCATTTCTTTTGTATTAAATTTTTAAAAAATTTACGAACTTTATTGGTTTATAAAATTTTATTGAATTGACAAAATGTTCTGTTTAATAACGTTAATTTCAATAATTTATTATATTAGAAATTTGACACAATTCAATTTATATATGTAAATATTCTAGAAAAAATTAAAAATAAATTTTTTTTTTTTTTATTTATGACAATTTTAATTCAATTCAGTTCAAAAAAAAAAAATGCTAATTTCAATATTTTAAATGAAATGAACAATTTGTATCTTTTTTTTTCTACTTATTTTTCATTTCTTTTGTATTAAATTTTTAAAAAATTTAATTTCATATTTGTCTTTTAAAAAAAAAAAAAAGAAATCAGCATAGTAATTGATGAGAAAGTCAAGAAGACCAAATAGTTTTAAGCAACAGCTGTGTGTGTGCAATGCTAATGAATCAATTGGACACCTCCAACCGTGAACACCTGTTCTAATCTGTTCTGGCAGAAATATGGAAAAGAACAAAAAATAAAACTTTTCTTTCTTTTTTTTTTTTTTTTTATTTTTGTTTGTTTAGCAAATTGTCTGTGAGTTATTTTCATATTTTAATAAAAATTAATTTTAATTTTTTTTTTTTTTTGCAATGTGTCATTGAGATGACAAAATCATAACAACAACAACAACAATAGCAATAAGCAATAAGCAATTTTATATTTTTAGATGACAAATTCCCATGAGTTAACCACCACCACTACTACTACCCATAATCAAAATTTATTTGACTAAATGATGTTAGAGTATATCACATATTCCTTTAATACTAACAAATATTTAAATTGGAAGAATTATTTGTAAAAAATGTTATGATAACAAATAAAATTGATTTTTCAAAAAAAAAAAAAAAAAACATATTATTAAATTCACATTTGTAATTTAATAAATTTTCTAATTTGCATATTTTGATTTCTGAAAGTGAAAAGAAGTGAAAGTATTGTGTACTTTTACCTATAAGAAAAAAAAAATGAAAGAAAAGTTCGTCGATCACAAAATAAGTTTTTTTCGATCAGTCATAAACAAAATTTGTTTTTTGATCAATTACAAATAAATTTATTTTGATCAATAACAAATGATCATTAATTTTAGGAAGAAAAAATCGTTCTGTTTTGTTATATTCTCAAATATTATTGCATAATAAAATAAAATTGAAAACTTTTGATAAAATTTAAGAGAAGAAAAAGAAAAAAAAAAAAAAGTAATTTATTCATTTTCTCTTTCTCATTTCTAACGATTCAAATGGGGAAAATTTGAATTTTCTTTTTTTCATTTAGTTTTCATCCTATTATTTTTGTCTTAATTATGCCTATAGCATAATGAAATTTTTAATTATTATTTTAATCAAAATATTTGAAATGAGTAAATTAAAGTTTTTTGCTTCGTGTTGTAAATGAAATTAATTAACGCATAAAAATATTGTAATAATGTGAAAAAAGTTATTCAGCCGAAAAAAAAAAAAAAACTGCAGAAAATGAAAGAATCTGTATCAGAGGTTTCCTCGATAACTAATTAACTTGGCTAATTAAACATAGACTGGCTTATTTAAATGATATTTCTATCATGGCCACAAAAATCAAAGATTAATGTATTACTCACTTTTTTTGACTTATAATGGTAAGAAAGAGTAAAAGTTAGCAATTTGAAAGATTAAAAAACATTAATGATTTAATCATAATATTCAAAACAAGCAAATAAATTGCTATTAGCAAAAATATAGCATGCTAAATTGAAATAATATTTGATTGAAACGGATCAGGTAGTGAGTTAAATGATTGCTAACCTTTGAACATACCGCTAATCTGTACAGCTGCTTGATGCGACATTTCGAATTCATAATTCAAAGGTTTGATAAGCTCTATTAATCCATTACCATGTATTTTAAGATAATCCGTTGTTGCTGGCGCAAAGATAACCTTCTCGTCAGGTCGAAGGTTTATTTTCTGAATAATTTACATTTTGAAAAAATATGTAAAAAAAATAATTTTTGATTAAATTATTATTTTGCATATTTTGATTCAATTATCTGTTATTGAACTAAGAAAGCACTAATTTGAAATTAAATAATTGCAAAATTTATTAAATAATCGGCAATTTTACAATTTCAATACAAAAAAAAATTTTTTAAATGAGCATGAAATCTATTAATATATTAGTTAATTGAATTAATTATTTTTATAACTGTGAATTTTAACTCTAAGTAATTCCCGAATGGCCTTAATTATATTGAAATTGTTATCAATATATCTTACTAGAATTGAATTTATTATCACCTTATCAATATCAAAATTGTAAAACTCGATTGTATTATCATCTTATCAAAATTATAAAACTTAAATAAAAAGTTAACCTCTTCCAGTAATCCAATTGGATGATTTTCTTTTAGTCTTAGCACAATTTCATCACCAAAATCTTTTCTACTACGTCGATGACGTGTACCTTTACTTTTTAATCTTTTGAATTGTCGTTTTGGATCAATCCGTGAACCAATCAAAATTCGAACATTAGCACGTGATTCCTTCAAATCAGTACTTCAAGTCATTTTATTTAAATATTCATTATATCAATTTTGTTTTTGTTTTTTAATCATTCTAAGAATCTGATAAAGTATAAATTAAAATTTAAAAAATTAATTTAAAATTTTAGAATTTAAAAAATTCATTTTGTATCTTTTTCACTAACCTGTGCAAATGAATCAGTAGCAATAATATTAAAAAAATATTTGCCATTTGATATACCATAACGACTGAATACATTACCGGAAAAAGGTGTAACATCGAATGGAACATTTTCCGGTTCAATTCGATATACAACAGTACCTTTTGATGATCTAAAAAAAAATGATTCTTTTTTTTTTTTTTTTTTGAAATTATGATTTTACCGGAAGTATTCATTCACAGTCTAATTTACTTATTTACTTTCAGCATTCATTGGATTAATGATGGATTAATTTATTTTCAAAGTAACAACTGTCCCTAATATCATTTTCCCTAATGTCCATTGATTGGTCACTAAATTTGTTTATTTGATACCTAAATAATCTCCAATGACTAAGAAGTGCAAAATATTCTTCACGTCATTAACGTCAAAAATACGTTAAAATTAAATCTTCAAAGATTCTAACTTTTTTTTTCTATCATTTGCAAATTATTTTGCATCAACAAATAATGAAATAAATAATGTTAATATGGATGATAAATTCGTAATGATCAAAATTGATTTTCTGATCATTTCTGATCTGATAATAATACATTTCATCAATACTTACTTCAAGATTTACAAGATGAATCATAAAAATTTTATAAAAAACTATCAAAATTGAAATATAAAAGTTTCCCTTTAAACTTTTTATATGAATATTTCAAAAGTGATTTTTTTAGAATTAATTATTTGAAAAATATATTGTTAAAATGAAAAATTAAAATTGAAACAAAATTGGATTAAACAATTATACAAGAGAAACAAGCAGTTTGCTCATATTTTAATTATAAATTAATTCCATTTTGAAATATGTTTTAAAAATTTCACTATTTTGTTGTTTCACTATATTTCCTTTTTCCTATTTTTTTTTTTTCAAATCTTTTCGAGAATATTTTGTCAATCTTTTTCAAAAGAAAGAAAAGCGCTAATAAATATAAATGGATGATCATTTTGTGATTATAGATAAAAATTAATTGATCAAATTCATCTTTGTTTTGTAATAAACTTTTTTCTTTTCGATAAATTACTTACTTATTACTTTTTAGTTTTTTTTTTTTTTATCTGTAATCAAGAAATTAGTGATCGTTTTTTTTTTCGTTTCCTGATAACATACTATTTATCATTTACTTATTAAATTGATTATTAAAAAAAATAAATAAATAAATAAATAAACAAATGAGAATTTACTTTGCTGTAACTCTTAGTACAGTCACATGAGGTGGCAGCTTATCAAATTGTCTAAAGTAATTCATATTACTGAATTTGGGTCCACTTATAAAATAAATAAATAAATAAATAAACAAATGAGAATTTACTTTGCTGTAACTCTTAGTACAGTCACATGAGGTGGCAGCTTATCAAATTGTCTAAAGTAATTCATATTACTGAATTTGGGTCCACTTATAAAATAAATAAATAAATAAATAAACAAATGAGAATTTACTTTGCTGTAACTCTTAGTACAGTCACATGAGGTGGTAGCTTATCAAATTGTCTAAAGTAATTCATATTACTGAATTTGGGTCCACTTATGGGCAATTGTTTGAAATTGACATCAATTCGTGCTACTGCCAAACGAATCAAATTATGCTTATCTAATGCACCGATATAAAATGATTGAAAAGTTTCATCAGTTAACTTCAATCGACGTGAAACGTATAACTGAAATTTGACGCAAAAATTATTAGACAAAAGAAAAAGCTTAAGCATCTATCAAAAAAAAAAAAAGGAAAAAGCATAAAATCTTAAAATTGATATAATTTTCATATTTTTTTTTTGATATTATAAAAATTTTTTTCCTGAAATTTAAATTATTTAATTTTCATTTAAATTTGTTATTTAAAAAAAAAAAAATTCAAAGTTAGTTTTAAACCTTTGCACAATGAATATTTTGCTTCCTGTTATGAGTGAGTATAAAAGGTAAATTTGTTGAATTTGAAATAATTGATATTTGTAGATCTGTTGAATTAGATACATTCACCATTGTTATGTCTGTTTCAAATGGAATCAACATTTCAGGTGTGATATCATTTTCCAAGGTAATATTGTATATATCAAATGAAAAAGATGGCGTTGAACTGAAAGTATAATTTTAACAAATAATACTTAAATTTTTTCATTCAAATAAAAAATTCAATGGAAAGAAAATTTTCAAAATGAAGAGAAGAAGTATTAGTCATTTTAATTTAAAATTTAAAACATTCAACAATTTGATCATTTCTTAGAAATTTTTAGGTATGTATAACTTACTTTCCTGCAATATTCACATTAACAATAAATATTTGTTCTGGTTTTGTTGTAATTTCCATCATAATAGCTACTGATCGATTTTCTAGCTGTCTTATTGATTTTTTTGTACATAACCTTGAAATTTAAAATTTGATCAGATGAATTATTGGATTATTAGAATAGCATAAATACTCTACAAAAAAATTTCAAAAAAAAATTTCAAAATAATTTCAAAAAATTCCATTTTCTCCTTTTCTTTGGCATTTTTTTTGTAGCACTTTTATTGGAAATAAATATCAAACCTATTATTAATGATTTGAAAATAATGCGACTGATTTGAGGTGTGCAATAAGCAATGACCATACCATGGACAATGTCCATCTTCAACAAGGTCAGAGATAAGCCATCCTAATGGCGCATCTGATCGAACAGTGAAAATTTTTGGCTACAAAAAAAAAACGAAAGAAAAAATTCATAACAAACAAATTATAGCTAAAAATAATTAAAATTACTAATGCTAGCAAAAAAAAAAATTAATTAGTTAAAAGAGAAATAAGTGAAAAATGTAAAATTGCGATATCCTTGCGATATCGCAAGCGCATCGCAGATCAACCATAATTTGATTAATTTTTTTTTCAGAAAACTAGAATCTTTATACTTAATGTATTTTTAATAAAACAATTTTGAGATAAAATTATTGATGGCAGGAGAATATGATAGAACAATTTTTGAGATAAGACAATGGTGACAAATAAATTATTCCACTACTCATTTGCATATTGCAAGCAATTACATTTTCCAGTAAAAAAAAAAATTCTTTTTTTTTTTTTTAATCATATTATTTGTTAGATAGAAAATATCTTGGAATGCTGTCTAGCAATTTTATTTTTTAATTTATTAAATGAAATTATTTTGCTTAATTTAATTTAGATCAATAATTATTATCATCATTTTTTTTTCTCTTTTTTAATTATTATTTTGTCATTTTATATCATAATTTCATTGTTGCTATTTAAATATAATTATATTTCTTCTTGTTAAATTAATTTAATAATTTTTAACTTTCCTCTTCTTCTTCATTTACTCCTTACTTACTTACTTACTTCAATTAGATATACTTGTTGCGTTTGTGCTGTTTGTTTTGGTTCATTGCATCAGTTACTCACAGCGGGTGCCTATTAAGGCCTCTCGTAAATGACTTCTAATCCTTTTCCCATTTCAACAATAAACCCATAATTTCAACCATTTTAATATTCAAATAAAACGAATTTTGGTTCTATGGTTGATAGCAATTTTACAAAATTAAATACTCAAAGTGATAAAGTAATTATCATTACTTTATCACTTATCACTTAATCATATCTCACAAATATTAAATACTTTCCTAAAGTTTTTTGCGCAAAAAAAAAAGAAAAAATTTATTGTTTACTCAGTTATTATTATTATTAAATGAATTTAATTTCTACTTGAAATGAATAAATTATTTCATAGCTTAAAGATGAAATTTGAATTGAATTTTTATGAAGAGCAAAAAAATTGTATTTTCATGAAACTTTAAGCTATATACCTTTTAATGTTCAGTAATTATTATTTCTCCATTTAGTATTGAATGGAAAATTTCATTTCAAACTACAAATTTCAAATTTCTAAAATCAATCAAGCGCAATTTTATTGTATGCTGAAAGAAATCCAAATGGATTTTCAAATGACCAATCTAAATATTGACCAGGATAGATATAGGCACTTTGCATATTGCAATTGTTAGAAGAATTAGAAAGATAATTCAGTTCAGATTTATAGAATTTCCTCAAATTATGATTGTTGGTTATTCTATTTAATGCAAAAAAAGTTACAAATTCAACTTTATAAAATTTAAATATAACTAATCTTTTATTAAAATTAAAAGAAAAAAAAAATTATCTTGTTGAAAATTTTTATTTGTTTACAATCTTATTTATTTTTTTTAGTTCATATTTATAATTTCTTCTCTTAAACAATATATACATTCTTATGTAATCTAAAAAATTATCTTAATTTTGATGAATGTTGATTAATTCGATTAAACCATTCACCTCTCTCTCTCTCTCTCTCTCTCTCTCTCTCATCTTTACATACGATAATTTACAGTAAATTATCCACTCAAAGTAACCTTTAAAAATATTACAGGTAAACAGGATATTAGTAATGGATGAGAAATAAAAAAGATAGAGAAACAGTTTCATTATATTATACGCATAATTAACGCTTTTTTTTTTTTTTTTGTTGATAAGAGTATAACGATGAATTAGATAGTCTTGAAAGAGATACCGACATCTTATTCAGATTATCGGTCAAACATATTTGACAGCAGAAGTAGAGGTAGAATCGATAACGAAACAAACATCCATCATACATTTCTCAATACCTTTAGAAAATTACACCTTAGCAAAAAAACAAAAAAAAAAAGAAAAAAAAGGAACAGATGGAGATGTGAGTAGAAAAAATAAAATCTCACTATGCTATCTTCATTTTTTGTTTCTTTTTTCTTTTTAATATAGTTGAATTTATTGCTTTAGCATTTAAGAAATAAATATCAATTTAAATTTTTTTAAATATGAAAGAATAATTGTGTTTACTGATTTAATATCATTTGAATTGAACAATTTTTGATCACAAATTATGTAATGGCATTTCAGTTTTTTTTTTTCAATCAAAGTTTATTGTAAAATTCCAAAAAAAAAAAAAAATCCACCCTCTATTTTCTCATCAAAATGATTTTTTGAATTGTTAATTTAGATATACAACCTTTCAAAGAAAAAAAATGAAATGGTTTATTTGTGATGGATGAGCTAACATAACTAAAATGAAAATAAAATAAAATGTCAGATGGATTCAATCAAAATGGCTTAATAATTCTGATTGCTTACGGTTTTTGCTTTTTTTTTTTTTTTTGAGCTTAATAATTCTAATTTAATTGGTATTTGATATAACGATAAATTAGAATATGTGTTCGTTATCCTTTTAGCTAATTTTTTTTTTTTTTTTGAGTCCGTAAGAAATAAATGAAATTTCAGAAAGTAATCTTTAAAAAATTTCATATTTTAAAAAAAAGAGCTAATTTTTAAGCTACTATTAATTGTTATCAAATATTACTACTATAATTCAAAAGTACCATAATAAACTAATGCTAAAATATTATATCGCAGTATCGGGAAGAGTAATAAGCATTGGAACACTTAACAAAGAAAATATTGTCATTCCTGAAAATTTAATTTCAAAAAAAAAAAAGTAATAATACTAAAATTTTACCTTATCTTGATAACATCCAATATCTGAAATCAAATAAATGATATTTAGATGAAGAATGAGCCAGAAATACAGCATTTTTTGTTTTCTTTTTTTTAGAATTGACAGTTTGTTGTAAGCAGAATAAACATGAATACAATTGAATTGTGATATTTATGGTGTAAATAATGGCAGTAGTAGATTGATAATATTATCATTTATCATATTATCATTTATCGTAGTAGAAATAATACATTTTGGCAATGCAATGATTGTAAATATAATTAGAAGAAATGAGATAAATGGGGAAAAAAAAGTAATAGTAATGGATTTATAGCAGAATAACACCACGTCAAGGCACCAAATAATCCATAATCGAAATAAAGTAACTCCAATTGCAAGAAATAACAAATCCTGAAATTGCTTTTTTTTTTTTCAATTATATGAATTTACCATCGTTTTTCTTTTTTTTTTTTTTTTAAGCAAATAACTAATAATAAATGAATAATGTCGAATGCATCATTCTTTAGAAAATCTTTTATTCAAATGAATTAAACTATTTAATTTGTATTTGGGAAAGATAAGTAAATGAATATTGGAGTATTGCTAAAATTAGTATGAAAAAGAAAAAAATGAAGAAAAAAATTACAAATCATAGTAAACTGAATCGAATTCAATCTTAAATATTTGATGAATTTTAATGTGAGTAATAAATAAATGAAGCAATGCTTTAAGTGGAAAAAGTGAGAAATTTTGAAGTGGAAGCAATGAATTAACAGTAAATTTATGAATTTTTATATTAGTTACAGTAGACTAGACTAAATTACAGTATGCTGAGTTACAGTAAACCAGATAGACACGGTAATTGTGGGATGTAATAAAGATAAGAAATAAGTAAGGTAAATATATCAGAAAAATTCTAAAAATGCATTGGTTATAACTTAGATTGCTTTATTCATTTATTACACATATTGAATATTTATGGTAAAATCCGATTCAGTTTATTAGTGATTATAAATTCTTTTTCGGTTTCCTTCATGAAAATTTAAAATGATAGTCAAAAATGAGCAAATGAGCACTTTCGTAGGAAAGTTTTTAAATAAATTCAGGTTTTTTTTTTTTTCTTGTACTCCACTTTAAATGAAACATATTTTCATATGAGTCGAGATTATTGGTTAAGAATAATTTCAGAAAGATGAAATTCTCGAGTAGAAGAAAATATTAGCAATAATAAAAGTTCTGAAAAATGAGTAAACTTTGAAAAAAAAAACATAAATGAATTGAAAAATTTAATGCTTAAAAATGGCAATGAAATTTTTGGATGCAATCGATAACATAAATAAATAATAACCTTATAATCTATGAAATATCAAAGAAAAAATAAAAAACAATTCTCAAAGGCTTTTTAAACAATCAGTAGTACCATGAATTTCAAAAGAAAATGATAAAGTTAGAATTGTTATCAGTTATTTATCACTCAGAAATATTCCAATGATAAATTAAAAATTTATTTATCTAAAGGTATGTGTAGCCTAGAAGCATTATCAATTGGCTTCAAATAAATGAGCGAAGTGAAATGAATGCCTATGTGGTCAACAGAGAGAGAGGGACAGAGAGAGGGAGAGAGAGGGATGGTTGAAAGGGAGGAGTCAACCGGATGACAATGGTCCTTCCAATCAGTATTAACGGATGAAACGGATGGACTCACTTCATTCATGTCACCATCCTCTTCCGTTCTGGATAAGCCAACTATTCACACCCCGAAATTCATCCCTCTGTAATTTTCATTCATTTACAAAAACCTTTAAAAAGTAAAAAATTATCCGTTAACCTTTCAATTTTTTTGTTTAATAATTGGTTCTAAAATTTTAATAATTCTAAAACATGGATATAACTCTATGACAATGAGTAAAACATGCTTAAATGGAATAAACTACAATCGAATTGTTAAATTTTGAACAAATAAGTAGTGTTAAATGAGGTACTTATATAAATATATTGAGAATGCTTGAACAGAAAATCATTGGAGAATTGTTTCAGAGTCATACTTGTCATCATTTAAGCTGAACTAAACTAATGCTTAGCGAATGAAACATTAAATGATTTTCAATTTATAGATCAAATTTGAGAAATGATAATTTGAACAATCAGTTATGTTTAAGAAATTTTTTAAAATTTTCAAATTCTAAATTTTAAAATTTGTTTTTCCATTTGCACTCATATTTGATCAATTTCAAGATTTATCAAAAAGCTGCAACTGAAATAAACATTTATGAATGTTTTTTTTTTTTTTTTTTTCAGGAAATTACATTTTTGGTAGGATGAATTCATTTCTTCAAAAAAAAGTAATCATTAATTAATCTCATATTTTCTCCTAGCAACACTAAAATAACTTATTAAAAATATTTAAAAATTACAAACTAGAACTGCTATTAATGAAACCATCAAAAAACGATTTTCAATATGCAAAATAATATTCCAATTCTCATTTCACATTTATAATTTCTGATAATTACTGTCTTTAGCTAATTCATAAATTTACATTTAGCAAGAAGGACCTCCTTCATTCAACTTTAACTTTTTCATATTTTTTTTTTTATTTTAAATCGATGATCATTCAAACTTTTGTTTACCTGTGTTAGCCAAACAAAACATTGATTTTAGCTAGAGGATTATATGAAAAGCTAAATATAGAAAGAATGGAGGAAAAGAGACTAAATCATGTGGAAATGAGACTCCTTTAGACGATGCCTTGAAAAAATTCTCAGAAGCTTAAGCGATGGATTCAGAATTATTCTAAAAAATAAAATTGACTCAATTATGAACATAAAATTTAACGCGAAACAATAATTTTTGAAAATTTAGTGGAAAATCTTTCGGAATAATATCAAAAAATAGCTAAGAAAAAAAAAACTATCTAAAATATTTGAAATTGAAATTGTTATATGTCTTACATATAGGCATATATAGCAAAAATAATAAATTCGAGCAAATCATTTCTTATAGTTAATTTCAATTTCATATATTATGTACATAAAATTTAAGTTGAATTTAGAAACTCGTCTAAATAATAGAAAGTAGAAGATTAAAATTTTTGGTATATAAATGGAAATTGGCATTTGACATTATGAAAGGGAACATATGACATATTTACATGAATAAACAATTTAAGGAGGACATTTCATTCAGCTCAATAAACTAAAATCATAAGAGTTAGAGAGAGAGTATAGTTCATTTGAGCTTAGTTAACTTTTATTATATTTGCAAATGAATTTGTTTGTTGTTATTTTTTTTTTTTTTTGCAATAATTAATTTTAATTTTTGTCTCTTTTAATGCAGAATTTTTCTGAAAATAAAGATAAATTGAAAATGAAATATTCCTTAAAATAAATAAATATAATAGCACAGATGAAAGTATATTTTGGTATGAAAATTTAAATTTCAATTTTAAGTAATTGTCAACAATTATTTTAAATATATTCTCTTTAAAATGATATAAAGTATCATGAAGTTTCTTTCAGAGAAATTTTCACTTTTTTTTACATTATTATTTAGTAAATTGAGCATACTTAAATTTAGCTTATACACAATCTTTTCATATAGTGCATTAAACTTTTTTTTTTTTTTGCATTATTTCAATTTTTCAATTTTAAATGTTAAACTATTTTTCAGTTTTAATCCAAAAATAAATAAATTATTTGCAAGTGATTTGTGGTCATAAATTAATTTGAAACTTTTATGATATATGTGCTTATGTAGAATTTCATATCATTTATCAATCAATTATTAAAGTTTTCATTTTCGATTTCAATTTTCTTTTTTTAAAAAAAAAAATAATAATTCTTTCCATTTATAAAATTATTTGAATAAATTCTTCATCATACATAGAATCACTTTTTGATTATTGAAAATTGAATAATTATTTGGCATCAATTATATGTTTCTTCTTTCTATCGAATCAAATTTAAACATCTCAAAATTGATGCATAAAATTAAATAAATGCTATCATAATTCGAATAGAAGAAAACTTCCTAATAATTATTATTAATTACAATCTAATACGGTAAGTTTACTTTATCAAAGCAAACATTACTATCATAACTAGCATCAAATTATACATCATTTTGAAAAGAATTCAACTTTCTCAGTTTACAGTCATTCATCAGTTCCAGTTTCTAAATTCATCAATTAGAGAAAACACTTCAAAGAATTGAAACTTTCAAATAATTTCAACATTTTAAATTTCAAATTTTAATGCTCTATGCAAAATATAAATTCTTTTGCAATTAATTGTCATTGACACTAAACATAATACAAAATAGCTAAAAATGTTAATAGTTGCTTTTAAAAAAAAAAAATTATTGCGGAAAGACAAACGAAGGTTAAAGATGTATAAGTAATAACTTAAAATAATAACAAAATGATTAAAAATAATTGAATTGAATTTTTATAAGTTTTAACTTATAGTTCATCTTATATCGTTAAATGTTAATGCAGGAGCAACAAAAAACAGCAAAACGATAATTAATTAATTAACTAATTAGTTAATTAATGCTTATTGATAAAACATTATAAATTATTTTTAGCAATTTAAATTTAGCATGCTTACTGGACATTTTTCATTTCTAATTTTTTTAAGAAAGATAATTTCAAAAGGAAAAAAAAAAAGAGATCAATCATTGCGATAAGTAAAAACAAAAGTATTAGAAATGAAAGTTTGAAGCTAATAATGTTTCAGTCTATTTTCTGTCATTTCCTTTAAAAGAACTGGTCTAGAAAATTAAAAAAAAAAGCAGGGAGAGAGAAAGGGAGAGAGAGAGAGAGAGAGAATGCTGTTTTAACGGATAAGAAAATGTCACGCATTTGAGGTAGGTAAAAAAAAATGAAAAAAAAGTGATTAAAAGTGTATCATATATTTCTTCATTTAATTTCTACTCATTTAAATAAGGCATTTCATACAATTTAAAATTCTTTAAAATTCATTAAGAAGCATATACTGACTGAATTACCATGTTTGATCATTTTCTAAAGGTACATATTAAGTGCTAAATAGTAGTAATTGAAAAAAAAAAAGGAGTATTTAAGAGGAAATAGCAAA